CCCCAAAACCCCAAAACCCCAAAACCCCAAAACCCCAAAACCCCAAAACCCCATAAGAATGGTCAAAGATTGGATTATATTTATTTATAAAAATTCCAGCATGGGCTTAAGAAGCTACAAGAGACGGTTATGGAAGAAGGGAACCCAGATGTACAAGAAATTAGACATTTACGCAAAAGACTTAACCCTTACTTTTGAAGGGGAAGATAAGCATGCAACTTACATAGGTGCAACATTTACGACATTAATCATGGGTTTCATGATGGTTTATGCGATTTTCCAGTTAGAAGTCTTATTCAAAAGAGAAAGGACGACAGTCAACTTAAAAACTACCTACCAAGATCTAACAAAGTTTTATGATAATTATACTCTGGAAGATTATGGATTTGACTTTGCTTTGAATCTTGAGAAATTTGGAACTCCAATCTACGATGAGTCATATTTCTATTATGAAGTAGAGAACGTAAACTCTTGGTGGGCCCCTGACTCATCAGGGGTAGTTAAAAGATACAAAACAAGCACAGATCTCAAAATGAGCAAGTGCAAGTCTTATAATGCTAGCGCTGATGATATTGAAAGGCTTGGTATCTACCAAAACTTCTATTGTCCTGAATTGAAGGAATACTCAATAGGAGGGACGTTCGTAGCTCCGAATTACAGATATCTTTACATTAAGCTCCTAAAATGAGATAGTTCCTTCATGACTGGATGAAAGAGTGATACTGATATCGACAAATACCTAGACCAGACCCAATTATCCTTTTACTATAATAACTTCTATTTCGATTCAGACGACTTCGAAAGTCCGGTAAAGAAGTTCATTGATGATAAGTTATGGTTCAAAATCATGCCAGATACTAGAAAAGATGCTGATGTCTTTGTCAGAAGGAACTATCTCAGCCTTCAAGATAATTATGTACAACTTGGTGGAGAGGAAGAAGACATGTTTATATCCGTCTCTGGCCAAAGAGAAACTATTGATGATTACGAGATTGGAGACCAAAAGGTAGTCAGAGTTTACTTTAGAATAGACCCTTATATTAACTCTTATGAAAGACAAGTTTACTCCAGCGGTGACTTCCTAGCCCAGATAGGAGGTATATTCTCATTCTTAAAAGCTATTGGAGCATTCTTCGTATTTATTTTTAGCGAAAGACTTCTTGTATCTGCCCTAGCTGGCAAACTTTATCAGGTGTATGATGAAAAGAAAGAAAATGATAAATATGATGAAGATCCCTCTGCAGATTTAAATGATAGTGTAAGTACCAATTCTCATTTCAATTGCCTAAGATTTAAAAAATGCTAATCTCACCTGAAATAGATCGCTAAGTTGAAGAGCTTTAAAAAGTCAGAAATGTCTTCTTCAAATAGGATCATGGATATTAGTGCCACTCAAGATGAAGAGAAAAATTTCTACAAGAGAAATCCTGTCCGTAACCTCTTTAAAAATACAGTATATTGTCGAAACAAATCAGCAGTTTTGGCAGACAAGCTGAAGAATGATAAAGAGCTTGATGAAATTGACCGACTAAAAATAAAGAACCTTGTAAGCAACAGAAAGAGGTTTGATTATAACACATTCCATGTCCTCCAATACATCATCTGTTGTGTTGCTTGTCGCCAAAGGAGGAACAAGAAGAAATGGAAACGTCACTTACTCTACAAAAAGGCTGAGGACAAAGTCTTCGAACAACTTGACGTAGTAAACATTCTCAAATGGATAGAACAGCTGAAACTCCTCACAAAAGGACTTTTGAACCATAAGCAGAAGTTCTGGCTCAAATTCCAGAAAGAGCACCTTCTAGAAATTGAAGAGAACTCTGATAAGGAACGAAAGGAAAAGTTAAAGGAAGAAACCAGAGAAAGAGACTTCATTAAGCTTCTTTACAGAAATGACCCAAGGGCTAAGAAAAGAGTAGATCGCATGCTGAAGTACCTCCAACATGGTAATAGAACAGCCTTTGATCAGAAGATTATTGGAGGTCTCTTTGAAGAATACGCCTCTGATTCTGAAGAAGAGGAGATGGAAAATAGAGTTATGGATACTGAAGAAGAGAAAAAGGAGTTCTATAGTCTTGCTCTTCAAGATGAACCACAAACTCGTAGGGGCCAGTTTAACAAGGGAGTAAAGAGCGGTGATGTAGACTTCCAGCCGTTAAAGAACCTATACAACAGCGTGAATAGTATAACAGCTCTGGGATATTCTTCTCCTAAGAAGCCGGATAAATCAAGTTTTAAAAAGAAGGGAGGAACAAAGAGTTTCCATAGAGCTAAGACTAAGAAAGTTTTCTCTGATGGAACTCCATTGAATCAGCTCTCATCTCGTAAGAAGAATTCTTCGAGAAAGAGGCATAAAGATGTAGTTAGCTCTAAATCTAGAGGCCATCATGGTTTATCTCAAACACCTAATATTCAGGAGGAAAAAGACGACAGTAGATCTTATAGTGACAGTGATTCGAACAACGAAAAAGGATTTTCACAGAGCAAATTCAAGAAAGAGAAGAAACCACCATCAGATGCAAACACTGATGACAAAGTTGAAAAGATTATCGATGGAGCCCTAGGAGATATAAGCCAAGATGTAAGTCAATTTTTACTAAAAGATCGACATTTGGATAGCGATTTATTTCATATTTTTATGCTATTAATTCACATTTTAGAAAATTGGATCGTCATGGGTCACCAAAGACCTTGATTCTTCAGATAAGGTCAAAAAGGCAGAGGGAGAAGGTAAAGGAAGCTCAGAGAACTCTGGATGGAACGTCCAAGATCAAAAATAAATGATATCACCAAGATTTCTAGCGATGTCCCAAGCTTTGGTGGTTAATTACAACTTTGAGCTGGGGAAGTCGGAAAGTTGCCAAATAATTTTTGAAGTTAAAAATCTTCCAAAACCTCCTTCTCATAGCTTCTACATGCTTTAAAGTATCATCTTCATAATTTCTAACTAGTCTAGTAATTGCAGCCGTTTCAATAGAAATATTGTAAAGAGGGGTTTTGGGGTTTTGGGGTTTTGGGGTTTTGGGGTTTTGGGG